ATTTGTCATTTGGCTTATCCCTCCTGGAACATCAACCCTGTTAGATATCTTAGTATCATCACAAAAATACATACCTTACCATCAAGATCTTCTGCAATATCACTAATAAAAATATTAAAGAGAATGGGTCCAAGTATAGATCCCTGAGGTACCCCACTGGTGACAAGTCCAAGCCTCGAATATATTCCATTAACTACAACCCTTTGTTGCCTGTCACTCAGCCACTGCCTTACCCATTCAACAATATTTGAATACATCAGTCTGCATTGGCATTTTTAAAATAATTTTTTAGTATTTCTCATGCATTTTTGCATTTATTTCAAAATACACTATGTTGTGATTACTATTTCCCAAGTGCTCCACTACTTGAATGTTGGTCAAAAGATCAATATTGTTTGTTATAATCAGATCCACACTACACCCTGTTTTCCTACACACATACAACACTCACAGAAAAAGAGCGGAGGGGTCTCCATTCGGCATCTTAACCTTAATCCTGCTATGGATTCTTATATTCAAATGAATTTAGAAAACATGTTTGTTATAGTCAGATCCAGACAAGCATCCTTACTAGTAGATACTTATATCAGTTGTGACATGAAGGTTTCAGCTTGACAAAGACTGCAGAAGGTCGAAATGTTGCTCTGTCACTATTTTTGATCCAATAAAACTGCTTGCTGTTTGCATACTTCGTGTACCAGAAGATTCTTTTTTGTACTGTTTTATGCTTTTGGATTTGCTGGTCCTCCTTCAGTTAAAGGACCATTATAGGCACCCAGACCACTTCAGCTCAATGAAGTGGTCTGGGTGCCAAGTCCATCTAGGGTTAACCCTGCAGCTGTAAACATAGAAAACATTCAGAGAAATGGCTATGTTTACATTAGGGTTAATCCAGCCTATAATGGCTGTCTCATTGACAGCTGCTAGAGGAGCTTCCGCGCTTCTCACTGTGAAAATCACAGTGAGGAGACGCTGAACGTCCATAGGAAAGCATTGAGAAATGCTTTCCTATGGACTGTTTGAATGCGCACATTCGGTGCTGACGTCGGCTGAGGGAGGAGAGTTCCCCAGTGCAGAGGGAACCCGGCGCTGGAGAAAGGTAAGTGTTTAACCCCTTCAGCACCCTTTAGCCGAGAGGGAGGGGGGCCATGAGGGTGGGGGGGACCTAAAGACCCTTTAGTGCCAGGAAAACAAGTTTGTTTTCCTGGCACTAGAGTGGTCCTTTAAGCACCTGGTGTACATTTTGGAATTTAGTGCGGTTCTTTTGGTTGTTCTTGGTAATATATGAAGGTGTCATTTAACACGTTCAAAAACCTAATTCCCCTTGCTGAACTATTAGTCCCTCTATTCCAATTTATGTCCAGGTAATTAAAATCTCCAATAACTAACGTGTTACCCAGATGTGCAGCTTTCAAAATGTGCTCTAACAGCTGTTCTTCATCATCAATATTAACATCTATATACATGTCCTAACCAGTACTAATATCTATAACATATCACAACCAATAATTGATTTCCCTTCTTTTGCCACAAGCAGATACCTACCCGTAAAGCTTCCTCATTTTCCTCATCATATTCCACTTGCTTAAGATTTTGATTTAACTCATGGTTGACATACAAACATACTCCACCACTCTTTTTCTAGTCTTTTTGAATAACTTGTAAACAATTAACAGCCCAGTCGTGTGTCTCATCCCACCATGCTTCTGTTATTACTATTATGTCATATTGCTTAGTGTATGCTATTGTCTCTAGTTCCCCCATTTTGTTATTTAGGCTCCTTGCACTTGTAAGCATATATTTATTATAATCATGAGTTACGTGTACTTTATGTGAATTTTTATTACTATTACATACTTCCTCTGTTCTGATCGTGCCCCTCTACGTATCACTTGTGCTGTTCAGGAATTTCCTGGAAGTCATTTATTTGACCCACCGCATGCATGGTCCCATGCCCAAAATAGTTCCAGAGAATCAGGGCTTGCGGTTTGTCTAGTCTGGTAGTTTAAAAACAAATAAACTACCAAACATAGTCAATGTTCTTACCCTGGAGCTTGTGCCCCTCATCCAGACAATCGATTCCACCGAACAGTGCCCTTCTAACTTGTATAGAACTGAACGCAGGCGATGATGGAAGTCCAGCGGTGTTCGGGAGTTTCTGTATCCAATTTTAGTTCCATGAGATTCATGCCCAAACACCGCTGCCTGTATTCAAGCGAACAAGATGGGCGCCACCTTGTGGTTATCCATAGGAATTGCGGCCACCCAGACAAACGATTAGAACACTGCAGTGAGAACCGTACCAAGTTGTTAATAGGTGTTAACAAGCTCCCGGGTGGTCCCTGCTTTGTGCGGTTGTTCGAACAGGACAATGTTAAAATAGGAGGGGAATGCACTCTACCGAACAGAATAGCAAAAAAGGCACGAACAAGGTCTTTTACTTTTACATGTCCCAGCATGATAAAAGTAAAATAAAATTAAAGTGGAGGACGATGTGGACAGTAGCGAGCAAAAACATAACAATACAAGTCGATGCTGGCTAGCATGTAGTAGGCATTTAGGTAGGCAAATACATTTCTGGCTAGCAGGGAGCCTGGGTAGTTATGTCTCGAGTTAGCCGATGCCCCGGGTTGGTAGCAGGAGAAAGCAGCTGAGCGGTATTATATGACAAGGTCTGAGTAAGACAAACCCACAGCCCTAGGCAGTCCTGCATCCTGAGACCACGTACTTGGGAGCTCGAAGGTGAGTCCACATATTCCACTTTGGTAAGTAAAGAAAACAAAATATATGCCTGGGGTAACAATCAACGTTAGACTATAGTAGATTAATTGGCATATATAGGTGCGTTAGAATGAATACAAAATATATGACTATACGAACCATTTAGGCTAAGCAAAATGCAATTATCTGACAAATTATAGGTGCTTCATTGCAGGCTGGGTGTACAAGATTATAGTACCACTCGTTCCACCCAATGTCACGTTGCAGCACAACAAAATTATTGGCACTACAAGGCGTAAAATAAATTAAGAACAGATTTAACAGGATTGTTGGATTGCGTCTGGTTGGCCTTTGGGCAGACAGCTAAGAGAGAAAACATAATATATACTTGGAGTAAGAACCAAGACTACGTGATGGTATATTAGCCAGCACCATGTATGTGCATTCTATCAAGTTATACAAGCATAATAGCACTTAAGCTGCACGTTATCATATAGTAACATAACAGAAAAGCGGTGTCACAGCATGATAAAAGTAAAATAAAATTAAAGTGGAGGACAATGTGGGCAGTAGCGAGCAAAAACATAAAAATACAAGTGGATGCTGGCTAGCATGTATTAGGCATTCAGGTAGGCAAATAAATGAGTCCGATTTCTGATTAGCAGGGAGCCTGGGTTGTTATGTTTCGAGTTAGCCGATGCTCCGAGTTAGTAGCAGGAGAAAGCAACTGAGTAGTATTATCTGACATGGTCTGAGTAAGACAAACCCTCAGCCCAAGGCAGTCCTGCATCCTGAGACCACGTACTTGGGAGCTCGAAGGGGAGTCCAGGTTCTTCCTTTTAGGGGGCGCCAGAGGCTCCTGATGGCCGTTGGTCGATGCATTGGGAGATATACCTTGTTGGTCTTCAGCCCAGGTAGACCATGGGTGGGAGACTGAAGTGCTGGTGTAGAGGAAATGCCCGGGGTGGCCCGCTCACCTCCCGTCTCTCTTTTCTCCACCCGGAGCCGGTGTTGCCTCAAGACGAGCAGATAGTTTGGCCCAGAAGTTTTTGAAGGAGCGTGGACATTGCTGGAATCAGGCAAGTGGCTGAGGGGTTTTAACCCCTTCGACGACATGGGATGAGGGGCGGGAGGGAGGCACTCCAGGATTCTCTAGTGCCAGGGAAACAGGTTTAACTGGCACTGGAGAATCCCTTTAAATAATAACAATTCACACTCGACTGTTACAGGAGAACACTGAAGAATCCACGCAAAGAGAGTCCGGACACAGGCCTTTTCAGTAAGTAAAGGTCTTTATTTTCACCGATCGGGTCTCAGCTGAACTCCTGTTCAAAAGGTCTGAGCACTGAGCACATGGAGTAGAGGCTTTTTATAAGCTATGCATCCCCCATCTGTACCCTTACACCAGTCAGCAAACAGGATACACAGGATTACCTTATGTGGACAGGCAACATGGTCCTTTAGGAGAATGGAATGTGGTTTCAGTTCTTGCACATGCTCAGTACATTGATGACAGTATCTTAGCTATATGTAACTAACTGATCCAACAGATACTTGTACTTGCATATGCCACATGGAGATTTTAGACCTACTAAATTTTGGGCCTAGCTGAAATCCCATCACACCACAACCCCCGCCACCTTCCAAATTGTGCTCAGCTGCATTCTGAGTACACCACTATCCCACATGTAAACATATACAGTTATGGGGCCACCTCAACTATCTGCCCATTTCAGTTTTCAAATTAAAAATGTTGACAGACTGATTTGCATGAACCAGGCTTCATTTTGTGGTACTTTAGTACAACACAAATTTAAATGGCCCCATAAATGCAAACGTAACACCCATGATATCTCATAATATATTTTTTGGGCCTTATTTGCAGGTCATTTTTCACCAATTTCTTTTAATATTAATGGAATTCATTTATTTATTTTGCAATTTTTATAACATGCATATTCCAAATTATCTGCTCTTTTCAAAATCTGGGATGCTACTGTAATAGCAATAACTAAATTAGGCTCAGCTGTATTAAGTGAGTACAGAATGTACCCTTGTATACATTTTCCAAGTTTTTGCATATTGGAATCTGCTTATTAATGTACCTAACCTCACCTTTCCACTTATATTTTTTTCATCTTCTTGTTCAAATGTATTTTAAAAGCAATGGGGAGAAGATAACCAACCCCTTTATGATTTTTTTTTTTTTAAAGATTGATTTACTTTTTTATTTCTATTCTTTCTTACACAGTAATGCATACAATTTAAACATTACACCACCATGACTGGGGGTACATTACCACTTTCTTCCCTCATCGAGATTTTTTTCTCCAGCCTCCCACTTACTACAACCCTGCCACTGGCAGTGTATGGCAGTCACAGGCATTCGTCTTGTAGAAAATTTGGGGGTACCCCATCCCTCCTCATTTATCCATTCCCAATAGACGGCCTTCCTCTTGTAGTAATAGATTAAATGATTCGGTGATTATTGAGACAGCCAGAGTTGTCATTCTCTTCAGTTTCATCTCACTGAGAAACTAGACTATATGGGACCATCAGCCCACTGTATCTACAATCTCGGAAAACCCGTGGCAGCATTCTATTGTATTTAATATATCAGAAAGGCTGAAAGGGGGGTCATTTTTTTAAATTGATGATTCCACTTTACCTACCTGAAATAGTAAAATATATTTTTAGGAGTATTACATGATTATTACTCCTTACTCTTAGCCATTGAATTCCGACGTCAGATGCAGCTCGCAGAGTTCGCAGGTTAGTAGTGTTTAATTGTTTAATAAAGTTACAAACTTTTGACTCGGTAGTCATGTTCGCCGCGAAGCACGACGGTATTTGTAGTTTCGAGATAGCTTGGGTCATGTGTCCTGCTTCCTTATGATGGCTGAAACGCAAGCTTTTCCCGTAGCTCGAGAGCAGGTCAGAATCAAATTGTTTGCATTTTGCGGGTAGAGTGAAGCTAATGTAATCCGTTTTGTTTCACCATCGCTATACCACCGTGGTGTAAAACAATTATAGTCTTAATGTCTTCCCCGGAAGTGGCGGCTTTGAAATTGGAAACACAGAATGTAGGACCAGCTGATATCTTGTTTCTATTAGTAAACATACAAATGCCATGTACAACATATTGGGTTTAACTTTTTATTATTGGTTCATAACATTCCTATTTGTCTACCTCCTAATCCATTTATCAATTTCTGTAATTGTATTTTTTTAATTTTATTTTTTGTAGGTATTCACTGTAGTGTGTAAGCCCCCATTTAATAATGGGAAGTAGCATTAGAGTATCATGTGTGAATGAGTGTGTGTGTGTGTGTGTGTATAATGCAGATGTTTAAACTCAATGCTGTGTTTGTAGTGCTAATGTTTGCATGCAGAGTTTGCTTTTATTGTAGCATTAATGGTTGCATACAGGGGTTGCAATTGTGTGTAGTGTTGGTGTTTGCGCACAAGGCTGTTTTTGTGTTTAGTCTTGGTGTTTGAATGCACTGTTTTTTTTGTTGTTGTTGTTTTTTTTTTTTTTGTGTGCCACTGTTTGACTACAGTATGTGTGATGTTTGCATGCTGACAAATGTTCACTTATGTACATACATTGTCACACACACAAAATATGCAATGACCCCAGCCAGGGACAGAGCCACTTTAAAGGAACACTATAGGGTAAGGAATACACAACTGTATTCCTAATGCTACAGTATCCTTGTCCCTATTTTTTTTCCACCTGTCTGTGAAAGGGTTAAAAACTAAGTTACCTCTTGCCATCGCTGAAGCTCTCTTGGGACTTGCTAGGTTTACTCCTTCTGCAACGTTATGCAGATGGGGGAACCTAATGCACATGTGTGGTGAGCACACATTAGAGCATACCCATAGGAAAGCATTGAATCAATGCTTTCCTATAGGGAATTTGAGGACATTAGATGTCCTCATGCCTCTAGTGGCTGTTTTAAAGGAACACTCCACATCCCAAAATCAGTTCAGCATGCTGAAATGCTTTATGGGTGAGGAGTATTCTAGTACAACCCCACTTTATAAAAGTGGCGATTACTATGAGAAATCCGCACTTTTATAAATTAACTATGGAACACCCCCTAGCTGTCAAACAGCCAGGGAGGTTTGCAGCCTCCTTATGTTCGCTTACCTTAAAGGGACACTCCAGGCACCCAGACCACTTCTGCCCACTGGAGTGGTCTGGGTGCCAACTCCCACTACTCTTAACCCTGCAAGTGTAATTATTGCAGTTTTTTTATAAACTGCAATAATTACCTTGAAGGGTTAAAGGACCACTATAGTGCCAGGAAAACATACTCGTTTTCCTGGCACTATAGTGCCCTGAGGGTGCCCCCACCCTCAGGGCTCTGTGGGGAGGAAGGGGTTAAACTTACCTTTTTCTCCAGCGCCGGGCGGGGAGCTCTCCTCCTCCTCGCCTCCTCCTCTTCGGCTGAATGCGCACGCGCGGCAAGAGCCGTGCGCGCATTCAGCCAGTCTCATAGGAAAGCATTCACAATGCTTTCCTATGGACGCTGGCGTCTTCACTGTGAAAATCAAAACATTTCTCTGAAACTGCTATGTTTATAGAAAAAAAGGGTTAACCCTAGCTGGACCTGGCACCCAGACCACTTCATTAAGCTGAAGGTCTGGGTGCCTATAGTGGTCCTTTAACTCCACCTCTAGTGGCTGTTTACTAGACAGCCACTAGAGGGCACTTCCTGCATGATAGCACAGAAAACCTGTGCTAGAGAGTCGCCGGACTTCCTCACGCTGTGTGAGGACCTCCAGCGTCGCTCAATTCCCCATAGTAAAGCATTGAAAAGCATTTTCAATGCTTTCCTATGGGGAGCTCTAATGCGCATGCGCATTAGGTCTCCCCGGCCGGTGGGCGGGTTCAGTCTCGCCCACCGGCCGACATAATACAGAGGAGGAGAGGCGGCGGAGGAAGAAGCAGCGACGTGTGACATGTCGCTGCCTCTGGTAAGTTACTGAAGGGGTTTTCACCCCTTCAGCAACCGGGGATTAAGGGGTGGGAGGGAGAGGGGACTTGCAGTGCCAGGAAAACGGATTGTTTTCCTGACACTGGAGTTTCCCTTTAGGTAACGGAAGTGGTAGGCATGCTCTACTTGAGTGTGCTTGCCACACAGCCCAGATGTGCGTGCATGTGGGCACCAATTCAGAGACTGAAAGTATCTTCAGCTAATAAAGGGGAGGGCTTTCTAAAGCTTTTGCAAGCTCTTTTATTCCATACCCCCAATGAATGCATTCATTGACTTATATCTACTAAACAGTGATTTTTTATTTATTTTTCTCCTCTGCCCATTTGGGCAGTGGGGTATTCCACTTTAATTAGATGAAGTGGTTTTCAGTGCCTATTGTGTCCCTTTAAGTAAACCCTCTATTACACCAGCACATTGTTTCTAGAACACCCAACCTGACTCTCTCCTTCTACCTTAGTTCAGATCCATTACTGCTGTTTGAAAGGAGCAGGTTATTGATATATTAAATATCTTTGCAACTACAGGAGAGCATATCAGGCAGCACGAATGACTTAATTCCAGGATGCTAGTGCCATTTGTGTTTCTGTCCTCTCTCGCTTTCTTGGTAATAAAACATAAACCAGTTAACAGTGAACAGGGCTGTATATAAACTGGTAGTAATCGTGGTATGGCTTCTATTTGTTTCAATCAGCTACAGTTATGCAATGTGATTATTAGAACTGCTCTTTGAGGACAGATTTATTATCTCAGAAACTTTTGCTGGAAAGGAAAGATTAGGAAAAGATATTATGGAAAAGATTAGTCGTCTTGGACCATAAAAATTGGCTCCTGATTGGAACATCCCATTCTAGTGTGGGAGTCATAAGCAAGCATCCAAAAACTGAAATTGCACATAGTGCCTCTAGTGGCTGAATGGTAGACAGCCACTAGAGGCAGCCTTAACCCTCTCCATCTCTAAAACTGCAGTGTTTACATTGCAGAAAAAAGTTACCTGCGCACTGCCCAAATCCATATATATTTTTTTTTTTTTATTTGGTTTTTACTGTGTCTATTGTGGCTGATATGTACTATGGTCGTTGATGCAACCCAAGAGTAGTGGGAGTTTGAGCGCAGGACTTATTTTTGTGTTTTACATTGCAGAGTTAAGGGAACAGGGATGCTGCTCCCAGACCACATCAATGTGATGAAGTGGTCTGGGTGCCTATAGTGTCCCTTTAATGAAGCAGTTTTAGTGTATAGACTATGCCCCTTAGTGTCACTGCTCAGTTATTTTGCCATTTAGGAGTGTGACGGCAGCAAAATAACTGGTAACACTGGAATCTTAAGACATACCTCCTAGAATTGGGACACCAATGGGAGGGAAGGATAAGTGGCGGGCCAGTTTCGCAGTCATGGCACTCTCTACCCACAAGGAAACATACGTCACCGGCTTGCTCACATTACTCGCAGATTAACCTGGTATGAATACACACAAGGCTGCTTGACAATTTTAACCAGTCCCTTGAGCACTGTATCAGTGCTCCCTGCAAGGTCGTAGTCGGATTCAAAAATTAAGTAACCAGTTCCGAGTTTCCATATGTTTCCAATTCCACACATGGCCAGCCCGAGACCACTGGCGGATCCAGAGTCCTATCTCGGGAGGGACACTCATAGATTATTTAAAGAAACAATCCAGGCACAATAACCACTGTGGCTGTCTGTAGTGGTTGTGGTGCCAGGAGTGTCGTGGTGCCCTCCCAGAGTAAATAGTCACACTGTTTAAGAACAGTTTGACAATTTACCTGTGGTCTGTCAGGATAGGGGCTGTAGTAGGGAATAGGGCCTCTAGTAATGTGTGTGTGTGTGTGTGTGTGTGTGTATGGGGAGGCACTGAGTATGTGAGAGGTGAGAGGTGAGGGGTGCAGAGTGTGTGTGTATGAGGGTGCAGTGGGAGCACTGTGTGTAGGAGGGGCAGTGTGTGTTTGTGTGAGGGATATAGTGTGTGCATGGGAGTGCAGTGTGTATATGTGGGGTGATGTGTGGGGGGGTGCAGTGTTTTTATGGGGAGCACTGTGTGTATGGGGGAGAAGTGTGCATGGGGGTGCAGTGTTTGAATGGGGCAGCACTGTATGTGTGGGGGGTGTAGTATGTGTGTGTGGGGGTGCAGTGTTTGTATGGGGAGCACTGTGTGTATGGGGGAGAAGTGTGAGGGTGCAGTGTGTATGGAGGAGAAGTGTTTGTATGGGGTGCACTGTGCGTATGGGGGAGAAGTGTGTGGGGGTGCAGTGTTTTTATGGGGAGAAGTGTGGGGGTGCAGTGTTTGTATGGGGTGTAGTGTGTGTGAGGGTGCAGAGTGTATGGGAGAGAAGTGTGTGCTTGTATGGGGGTGCAGTGTGTGTGCTTGTATGGGGGTGCAGTGGGGGTGTATGTGTGTGTGTGTGTATGGGAGGCTGTGGGGCAGTGTGTATATGGCGGGCTGTGGGGGCAGTATGTGTGTAGTTGAAGGAGGTGGCAGAGCAAAACAAATTTATTTTTGTTTTTTTCCCTAATTAAAAAAATATGATTAATATTCCCCCCTCCCTTCTTACCTTTGCCTGGGAGGTGGGGGAATATTATTTCCAATCCCTGGTGGTCCGGTGGAATCCCTGGCGGTTCTAGTGGGGAGGCTAGAGTTCACTCTCACGAGCACGG